TCTTGCTCCCCCCCCCCCCCCCCGGATGTTTTGCGGCCTGCATCTCTTCTGCCAGCAAGTCAGAGAGAACAGGTAGCCGTCTGACTTTGGACACCAGCTCTAATCCCAGTGATCCAGCTAGAGGTGCTGTTTACATCAAGCCATGTGTATCTTCCTTCTGCTATGAATTCTGAGCCAGAAAATGGAGGCATAGTTCTAGGCCTGTAAGGTATTAGTCCAAGAAGTCCCATGTGAAGGTTGTGTCAAAGCTTAAGTGAAGTGAAGTGATTGGATTTATACCCCGCCCTTCACTCCCCAAAGGTGTCTCAGAGTGGCTTACAAACTCCTTTCCCTTCCCCTCCCCACAACAGACACCCTGTGAGGGAGGTGGGTCTGAGAGAGCTCTTGACAGAAACTGCTCTTATTCAAGAACAGCTCTTATCAGAACTACGGCCTGCCCGAGGTCACCCAGCCAGGTGCAAGTGGAGGAGTGGGGAATCAAACCCGGTTCTCCCAGATTAACCACTACACCAAACTGGCTCTTAAGACAAAATTACAAGGTAAAGGCAGTGACTGAATGGCTGGGAACTGGGCAGCCACTGTGGATGTAGTGTAGTGGTTAGTGTTTTGACTAGAGACACCCAAGTCCAAGTCCCTACTTGTAGGAAAGCCTGCACTGTCTCTCTGCTAACCTTCCTCATTGAGTGAAGTGGGTAAAGGGGGGGGGGAGCAAAAACAACACAGGCTGCCCTGAATTTTCTGGAAGACACTGCAAGCCAGACAGTAGCAGGAAACAGTAGCCAATCTTGCACAGTCCTCAAGATGTATATTAATATTCGCTGTATTCGTTTCTTTACTATTCCAACTCACGCTGCCTGGAAAGGGATGCTTGATACTCAAAACACAATGCTGTAGCTAGTTACTGCAGCTCTCTAGATAAGGCGGTCATCTGCACACTCACATCCTTCCCTGTGGGCTGTACAAATGAGAACAAGCCAAAGCTCATGAACGGTAGTAGTGATGACAGGTCCAGTCACCTCCAGTTGGAACCTGATGGACATTGTTCTGAGGACTTCCCAATGAAAGCAGACTCACAGGGCAATCCTAGACATGTTTACTTAGAAGTAAGCATCACTGAGCCTTGCCCTGGATAGCCTAGGTAGCCTGATCTCAGAAGCTAAGCAGGGTCAGCACTGGTCATTATTTGGATGGGAGACCACTAAAGAATACTAGGGTCACTATGCCAGGCGGGGCAATGGCAGACCACCTCTGAACATCTCATTGAGCTATGTGCAGCCAAAACTGCAGCTTAAACCACTCACCCATATTGAGGTCAGCTGGTGCATTGGGAGGGCACTGTTCTCTGGCTTCAACACATACACATTGAGCTGCCTTATACAGAATCAGGCCCCTGGTCTACCATAGTCTTGTCTACTCAGACTGACAGCAGCTCTCCGGGGTGTTGGGCAGAAGTCTTGCCCATCACCTGTTACCTGCTCCCTTTAACTGGGGATTGAACCTGGGACCTTCTGTATGCCAAGCAGGTGCTCTACCAGTGAGTCACAGCTGCTCTTGCTGGCTTCACCACCACTCTTTGCCTTTAACACTTGCTTCTCAAAATGCAGTTTACATTAATCTTTGTCCTCCCTGTGTTCGTTCCAGGCATGTTTTATTTCAGCAAGTTTTAAGCTGAAGGGTGCTCCAGCTGTTTAAAAAGTGGGAGTTAAAACTATGGCAATTTAGTGCAAAGTAAGTGCAACTGTAGGGGCTGTGGTGGCTCAGAGGTTAAGACGCTGAGCTGCAGACCAGAAGGTCTGTAGTTCGGCAGTTTGAGACTCTAGTGCTGTGTGATGGAGTGAGCGCCTGTCTCTGGCCCCAGCTCCTGCCAACCTAGCAGGAGGGAAGGTAATAGTGTTCCATGCGCCTCAGCGTTTAGTCATGCCGGCCACATGACCACAGAAACGTCTTCAGACAATGCTGGCTCTTCGGCTTGTTAACTGAGATGAGCACTGCTCCCTAGAGTCAGATTAGACTAGCTTTTGAGCAAGGGAAACCTTTACCTAAGTGCAACTGTAGCCTTAGAAGTGATTACTAGTGTCCAAAGTGATATGAGTTAACAGCAAAAGCTGACCTATCAGAGACCTTCCTTGGTGACATTAGGAGACAGAAGGAGAAGCCATTCATCTAACTACAATTATGGCTGAAATACTACTATAAGTAAGTGCTCCCCAAGTTGCAAACGCCTTATTACATCAACCGAAAAGGCAACAAGGTGGGTTCCTGAGATGCACCTGACCCCCCCACCTTCATTTGCCTGTACCTGTGAAAGCTTCAGAAAAAAATATAGCAAAATGGAAAGAGAAGCCTTCACCAGGGACTCCACGGAAGAAAATCTATTGACCAGCCACTTCCAACTTGACAAAAAACCCTATCCCCTTTTCACCCACAAAGAAATACACGAAAAACCCACAACTCAGAACTTTATTTACAAAAGTACAGAAAGCTGTCACTGTGGATTCACAACACACAATATTCTCCTTTGGCAGGAAACAGTGGAGCAGCTGTGCCATGCCCCGTGGGCATGTTAAGCTTGCATAACAGGGCGGGACTTCTTGGCCTCCAGCTCTATACCCGACCCTGCAAAGCCGGTGCCACCCTAGAAGAGATAAGGCTTATGAGACAGGTTGGGTAGCAGTGGCCTCAGACCCAGAATTTGCATGTCTGGAATGCCCGGAGAGCCCTTGTTCTGCCCAGATGATGGTGGGAGGTGCTGAACTAACTCTTTTGCAGCCACAAAGTCAGCTCTGTTCCTAAACCCAGATTATTTGGGGGGGAGTGCAAAGAAAACAATCTCTGCATGCTCAGAGGTATTCTCCATTTTAGCCAGCTTGCAAAGAAAAACAGTTCCAGCTAGTCCATGTTCTGGAGCATGTCCCAGCTTTTAAGACACATCAGCGGAACGCAAGCTTAACTTAATAGCTGTTTGGGCGGGAAACAATTTTTAAGAGCCCAAACAGGGATTGCAACCTTGTGTTTGGCTTGCATTGTTATGCAGAGAGGGGAGGTGTATTCATAGGGCAGAACTGGCAAGTGGGAGGGATGCTTACCTCTTCAGACCACTTCCCCAGCCCATCATGGAGACATTTTTATCATGAGCAGCTGCAAAACCATCACACTGGAAGTAGCTCCAGGAAAAATCCAGTGCAACATGTCTTCAAGCCTCATAAGTGGTGTGATGCAGGCATTATTTTTGAATTAATCACTCAGTTTCAACACGGGAACCTAGGGAGTTTTTGCCATAACCAACGCCTTCTCGTCACCAGAAAACGCTGGCATTCAATTCTGCCCTATACTGCACACCCAAGGCCGTGCTAATGGGTACACATACCCGCCTGCCAAATTAAACAGCAGTTTGTGAACTCCTAATTATCCAGGGCTCTTTTACTCATTTTGCCTTCTGAAGAAACATGATGAATGAGTAAACACTTTACTAAAGTAAATCAACAGAGCGCTCATTTTGCCTTCTGAAGAAACATGTTGAATGAGTAAACAAACACTTTACTAAAGTAAATCAACAGAGCTGCGTAACGTTTAAGGGTTATCTTCACAGGACAGTTATGTCAACAAGCAATAAAAGGATTACTAATGCCATGTCAACTTGGCTGTGTTGGCGGTCCCTAAAATATGGTTTCTAATTGCCCCAAGAGAAGAGAACAAGAGAAGAGATTGGATTTATACCCCGCCCTTCACTTGGAGTCTCAGAGTGGCTTACAAACTCCCCACAACAGACACCCTGTGAGGTCGGTGGGGCAGAGGGAACTTTGACAAACTGCTCTCTTTCAAGGACAGCTGTGCCAGAGCTTGTGACTGACCCAAGGTCACATCAGCAGGTGCAAGTGGAGAAGTGGGGAATCAAACCCAGTTCTCCCAGATGAGAGTCTGCACACCATTGCACCAAACTGGCTCTAGTCCCAAGAGAAAGGATTCTGCAGG